CGATGTGATTAGGTGGATTGAACGCAGCAATCACAAAGCAATTTCACTTTGCGACTTGTCGAATTCTTTTGATTGCGTTTCACATGACATTTTGCTCAAAAAATTAAATTACTATGGAATCAGAGGTAACCCTCTTAACTTCTTACGGTAGTTTCTAAGTGTTATCTCTCCAATTTTCTGTCCGTAAAGCATGGAGTCCCACAAGGTTCGGTCTTAGGACCTCTTTTGTTTTTTATTTATGCCAACGATTTGCATAAATTCATATCTCCGTACAAAATCATACAATTCGCAGATTATGCGACATACGTTATATCAGGAAAAAATAATTATGATTTAAAAATGTGTCATGAGAAAGTGTCTACTGAATCTAGCTTGAATCTAGCTAGAAGGATTGAACAGGGACAGACGCTTCACGCTAAGGTGCCCTTTATAGAAATTTTAAGTTTTAGCTGAAATTCGCAGAAAACGTGCGTATTCAATAAAGCAGTCTGATGTCCATGTTCACAATACGCGAAACTATCACCACCTACGAACAAATCGTTGTAAATTAAGTCTTTCAGAAAAAAATTGTCTTATATAAAAAATTGTTATAAATATTACAATATTTTACCAACAAGTATTAAACAGCTAAGCTGTAATAGTTTCAATAAAGTTATAAAAAAATATCTTCTAAAACATTGTTTTTACTGCTCAGACGAATATATGACTCATTGCAGAACATCCACTGAATGCTTACCGTAACTTTGCCATAAATATTTTTCTGTTTAGTACGTGTTCTTATTTGTATATATTTAAGTTACATTTTATACTCCTTTTTTATACACCTGTAATATTTGTATCTGTTATGTAGTTAACTAAATACTCTATTCTACTCAACTCGAGTATTTTATATGGTCGCCTGAGTGCATATTCAGAGGAGCTTCTTAGCGAATATCAAACTGGTTTTAGGCCTGGTCGATCAACAATAGACCCGATCTTTGCAAGGCAAATACTGGAAAGAACCAATGAATTCAATATTGACACATACCATCTTTTCTACTACTACTACTAAGGATTTCCACAGTTTTTACTGTCTTCCTTCACTCAACCGTTTTCTCCAATTTTCTCTGTCATTCCAGTCTCCATCTCGCAGTGTTCTTTTCTCCATAGCCTCATCGATTTCGTCTCTGAATGACCTTCGGGGTCTTCCTCTCTTTCTTCTTCCGATCGGGCTCCATTCTGTGATTTTGTTTATCCAGCGTCCTCTGTCCGCTCTTCTGACGTGGCCGTACCAGGATAGTCTCTTCTCCTCTATATAGTCGATTATGTCTGATTGCACTCCCATTCTCTGCTTAATCTCTGCGTTTTCAATTCTGTCTCTTTTTGTAAGTCTACAGCTTCTCCTCAGGAACTCCATTTCTACTGGTCTTATTCTACCTCTATTTCTCTTGTTTATTGTCCAGTTGTCGGACCCATATGTTAGGATACTTCTTGTCAGGGTATTATATATTCTCTTTTTTGTCTTTATCGTAATGTTCTTATCCCACAGCACTGAATTTAGTTGTCTTATATAGTTTCTTGTTTGTCTTAGTCTGTTGTTTATATCTTCTTATGTTGTTCCCTGGTTCGATATTATGGTTCCTAAATACTGGAATTTATCTGTTAAATTTACTTGTCTTCCCTCGTCTATCTCTAGGTTTCTCATATCCTTGTTTTCTGTTGTTAGGTATTCGGTTTTCTCTAAGTTTATTTCCATTCCGTTGTTTTTATATTCTTCTAGTTTTCTGAGCATAAAGCTGAGATCTTCTTCATCTTGTGCGATGACTACTTGATCGTCGGCAAAACTTAAGGTGTATAGGTATTCGTCTCTTACTGGTATGCCAATTCCTTCGCACTTTCTCCTCCATGGTTTGAGTGTCTTTTCCAAGAATATTTTAAACAGAGTAGGGGACGTAGCACAGCCTTGTAGAAGTCAGTCAGTCAGTTTGTACAGTGCTTTAACTGCTTTTATTAGTGTGTGTGATCACCATCTTTTCGTAGATTTTAAATCGGCCTATGATAGTATCCTAAGAAATAAAATGTATGAAGCCATGGATGAATTTCACATCCCCGATAAACTAATAAGATTGATTAAGGCTACAATACGTAAAGTTGTTTGCAAAGTCGAAATACAGGGCGAACAATCACAGGCATTTGAAACGCATGGTGGGCTGCGACAATGAGATGCGCTGGCGTGTCTCCTTTTCAACATAGCTCTGGAAAAGGCGGTCAGGGGAACCAAATTAGACAACAGAGGAAACATTTTTAATAAATCATTCCAAATTTTGGCATATGCAGATGATGTTGACCTAGTTGCCCGCATAACATGCAAGCTAGAAGAAATGAATAGCACCTTGTCATATGTCTCAAAAAATATGGGCCTGCAAGTAAATGAGGAGAAAACTAAGATAATGGCATCAACACCCCACAATAGAGCCAGAAACATCGGCCACCAATTCACGGTTGATAACTCTACCTTTGAAGTAGTGGACAAATTCACATACTTAAACTCCCTGATTATCAAGGAGAACGTCATGACGGAAGAAATCAAGCGAAGAATAATCCTAGCAAACAAATGATATTTTAGATTGAGTAGACATATCATCATCATTGGCTTTTACAACTCTTCGTGAGTTTTTGCCACGTTTACTATTACCTTTCATTGATTCCGATCCTGTGCTATTATTTCCCGTGGCCTTACTTCCATCTTCTCCAGGTCTTCCCTGACTGCGTCTTTCCACCTTTTTCTAGGCCTTCCTGTCGATCTTTTACCATCTGGTCTTTCCCAAAACACATTGCTAATCAGTCTGTCGTCATCACTCCGTACCACGTGGCCTGCCCATCTTAATCTATTGGCTTTTATGTATCTTACGATGTTTCCTTTCCCGTAGAGAGTCTCTATTTCATTGTTGTATCTGCTCCTCCATTCATTTGTCACGCTGTCCCTGCAAGGACCATATATAATTCGCAGGATTTTGCGTTCCCATACTAATAGCATATTGTTTTCTTTCTTTCTCAATGTCCATGTTTCACATGAGTAGACATATGAGAAGCAGAAACTTAAGCCAAAAACCAAAAATAACCATATACAACACCCTTATCCAACCAGTGTTGACATATGGATCGGAGACATGGACCATTTCCAAGGCAGGTGAAAACCTCCTGCTTATATTTGAACGAAGAATCCTGAGAAGAATATTCAGTGGCATCTGTGAAAATGGTGTTTGGAGAAGGAGGTACAACTACGAGATATATCACATATATACACATATATTTGGTGGTAAAGATGTAGTATCTCTTATAAAAATAGAAAGAATAAGATAGGCAGGACATCTTGCAAGATCACAGCAGAACAACCCTCCTAGAAGAATCCTTATGTCACAACCTGTGAGAAGAAGAAATAGTGGTAGGCCAAAACTCAGATGGAGGGATGGTGTAGATGAGGATGGTAGAAAAATAGGCGCAGCAAACTGGCAACAGTTGGCAATTGATAGAACTGACTGGCGTAATAGACTTGGGAAGGTCGAGGCTCTTTTATAGGGCTGTAGCACCAATGATGATGATGATGATTCTACTCTACACTACCGACAAGACGAACCCCCCAAGCTGAGGACTGAAACTCAAGGGATCGCAGCGTGGAAACTGCTTTATCAGATACCACAACCTGCCAGGTGCGCAAGTCGTCGTCAGACAAATTTGAGTTCCAGCGTCAAAAAGATTTTTTTGTTTTTCAAACACCAGTAAAATGTATTTTGTATTAAATAAAGTACATACATACTTCTTGTTACGTAAATAAATTTAATTCAGAGTTTAAACATCTTTTTGGCCACCTCTTTAAATAATTATGGTAATGATTATATCATTGAATAGAGAAATTACCATTGAAATGAGCTAGCGCAAGACACCTATTCTTATTTAAAATAAATCATTGGTTACCTCATGCCGCCTAGGTCGATAACGTTTTTAGTGTGATATATAGTCCAAAAAATTATAATTTCAAAATAAAAATCGACCTGCTTCGATATTTGTCTGCATAGTCACCTATTCTTGAAAAAATTAACTTATTCCATAATTTTGCCCCTCACTGTATATACATATATCTAATACTTTCAATCTACTAATCTCTAAACACTATAAAAATGTAAACTAAATAAGCCAAATAATATACGCCTTAAGAAATCAAACTTTCCTTTTCCGCTGTAATGTAGGTAACAGTGGTACATATTTATTTGGTACGCAAATACGATTGAATCACCCAAATTATTACATATTCGAGTTGAGAAATGTTAAATATTGTCCCATACTCATATTCAGTATTTATGTAAGAAATAATATATGATTTGCGATTACGTACATTATATTTCATGGTTGATTAATGGTGTGGTAGGTATTCGACGATTTCGATGCTTCTTCAGTTGAAATTAAATACAATTATATACCAAAACATAATATTTATGAACTGAAAAAGGGATAATTCCCGGGAGTTGGCTGTATACCATATAGTTAAAAAACTCGAACGTTGATTTAAAACACTGTTGTAATTGGTATATTAAATAGATGAATACCAAGGTTGGTATTCATCTTTGCTACTGTCTGGATGTAGAAAAACTCGTTCGAGTATGGCAGTGGCGGCTGGTGTTTTAAAATTTTGGGTAGGCCAAGCCAGCAAATTACGTCGTAAATTTAGCGCCATATTCAGTGAATCTTTTATTATTGCCCAATTTCGATTATTGAAACTTTTTGTAATCCGAGAAACGTTGCTCTTCGCTTGAATTCGCTAAGGATTTCTGCTTAGTTGTAAAAGACATGTCGTGGAATGCAAATTTTAGATTCCCCATGTCCCTTTTAACATCTTTTATCAACGTCTGTTTGCCTTGCAATTTTTAGAAGGCTTAGATTATGAGCAAAAATCTGAATTGTGTTTCGAAACTATTTTACGGATTTTATAAAAAATGTTTTTATTATGCTAAAAATAGTTTTACCTGTAAGACAGTTTTCTATATCAGGATTCTGTTTAATCCAGTTTCTGAGATGTTCCAGACACTCTTTGCGGCTAGACTCACTTTCTCTAAGTTCCCTACTGGCTACCTCATAGAGCTCTTTCTTTAGTTTCTTGTTGGTGATCTTAATATTGCAATTATCTGTGTTGTAGTGGTCGTTCCATGAATTAACCATTATTAGCTCCGACGTGGTCATCTGGAAAAAAATAAACATTATTAAATAAAGCCAATTTCTTATTACGCTAATTGTTATGAACGATCCACTTATTTTACTCTTTGTATGGACTCTGAAGTGAACTCGATTTTCATTTGCTTATAGTCAATTTTCCGCGCTTGCCTTAGCTTCTGTGAGTTCAGTGATTAAGTGAAGCAACTGTGGTTTAACTAACTTTAATTAAACACCAAAAGCTCACTTAATTACAATTATCACACATTGTAATTACAGTAGTAATAAATATTGCTTACGAATCACACTAATATCGCTTAAAAACAGTTCGCCAATGCTAAACGGCCGCTTCCGCAGCTTATATAATGAAAAAACTATTCTAAAACTATAACAGAATAGGTAGCGGAGGAAAAGTGGAAGAATCCATTCGATAATACGAAAACCCATGAGATTACCGATAAAGAGCTGAATTCGGCCTCTCGAATTACTTTACAGCAGGGCCTCAATTGTATGTGTTGTATGTATGTATTTTTTACGTTATTATATGGGGTAAAGGCCTAAAATAGAGAACACGAATACAGAAAATTTTACAAACAGGTTAACACAAAAAGAAAAGTTTTCAAACCACAAGCGAACCAAGTCAAGGCCCTTAACGGAATTCTTTTAAACGAGAGAGTGGAAGTACTAGAAAGATGGCAGGAACATTTTAGTACGCTACTTAATGGAGAAAGTAGAGCTGAAGGTAGATATGATATAGAAATAGAACACGAGGATACTGAACTACCAACTTTGGAAAAAATAAACAAAGCAATTCAGTCTCTAGCCAGAAACAAGTCACCCGGAGCAGACAACCTACCAGCAGAAATATTTAAATGTGGCAGTCAAACATTTGTAACCCTCCTTCACAAACTACTAATACAGGTATGGCAAGAACGCGCGTTACCAAAAGATTGGAATACTGGAATTATATGCCCCATACACAAAAAAGGAAACGTTATTGAATGCTCCAACTTTAGAGGGATTTCCCTTCTTAATGCCCAGTGCTCACATACGGATCGGAAACATGGACAATGACGACCCGAGATGAAGAGTTACTACGAGTCTTTGAAAGAAAAGTATTGAGGACCATATTTGGCGGAGTAAACGAACAGGGTCTGTGGAGAAGGCGATATAACTTTGAACTCTATAGACTTTTTGGTGATGCAGATATTGTGAAGACCATCAAGATAAACCGCCTAAGGTGGGTGGGCCACGTTATGCGGATGGATGAGAGTGATCCCACTAAAATAACTATGCTAAATAGGCCGGTCGGAAGAAGAAGAAGGGGGCGACCTAAACTCAGATATCTGGACGATGTACTGGAAGATCTGAGGGAGATTGTAGTGAGGGGCTGGAGAAGACAGACACTCGATAGGGAAGGATGGAAGAACGTTTTGAAGCAGGCCAAGGCTCACGAAGGGCTGTAGCGCCAACTGATGAGAGGCCTGGAATCTTTCTGAAGCTTTTTCAAGAAAGCTCGAGATCTTCGAGACACCTTGTTATAGACGCATCTTAAGAATTTCATGGGTGGATTGTGTGACTAATATTGACGTTCTACGTAGAGTGGTCAAAAAATGCGTGATAATTAACAGAATTAAAGAGCGCAAATTAGAATATCTTGGCCACGTTATGAGATATAAACACATATGTAGCTAGTTGCAACTCATTCTTCATTGCAAGGTATTTGGAAAGAGAGAAACAGGGAGAATAATAATATATTGGCTTGAAAATCTGAAAAAATGGTTTAATAACGTATTATTCCGAATAGCTGCAAGGAATGTTAGGATATAGTCATATTAATCGCCAACATTTGAAACGTCTAAGCAACGTATGAAGGAAAAGAAGCATATATAGCACCATTATATATATATATATATATATATATATATATATATAAATATAGAATATAGAATAACATATTTTTAAGAACCAGCTTATATATATATATATATATATATATATATATATATATATATATAAGCTGGTTCTTAAAAATATGACTCTTAGTAAGATTTGATCATTTTGAGGAGTGTATTTGATTGGTCAGACATTATATTATATTTATTATGACAGACAAATAATAAAATAAACAAACAATTGATTACACATGTTAAATCATAAATTGTAATAATTGTTCACAAGGAGTGTGTAGTGTAATGTATAATTTTATGTTTATGACATTATTGTTGGATAGGCAAAAATTGACGAGGTAAGTCTAAAACGTTAATCACAAAAAACGTTTATCAACCATCAACTTCGAGTTTTTTATCGAAGTTAATTAATTTTCTTCAGTTAAAAAAACGTTTCTTGGCTTATTTCAGATGCCCCTGAAGATGCTCTAGGAAGCGAAAGTACTTGGGCAAAATTAATAAACTGTGCTCGGTCTTTCATTTGATCAAAGTTCATTTATTCGAGCATTCAACCTTATATCAATTTAAATAGATAGAAATGTATATATATATATATATATATATATATATATATATATATATATATATAATAATTTACATATATTTATTTATAACACAATATCAATTTTACACTGCATGATACACGTTTTGGCTTTATTTTTTTATACGGTTTTTTAACTTGTTTCGTCAAAAGCATAAACATTATTTTTTAATGTCCATAAAGGGGATTTATTTCGGTGGGCTTTTTTATAAATCACAAATATAAATTACTTTCTGCTGAATATAGTGGATAGCCTTGAAGAATACAACAATCGCGGCAAACTAGATATAAATTTCATTAGCCCCAAATTTATAAAGCATCCAAAACACAATCACTAACATTTTATTTATAAATTCCCCAAATGTTTAAAAGTACGTGACCTCAGAATTTCTCGTCAAGATTTTGGGGGTACTAATTACACAGTCACAAAATGGTCAATGAAAAAACAAAACAAGATAGTTTGTTTAATATTTTAAAATTTTATTTTAAAAATTACTAATGTTGAAGCCAACACGTTGATTCATCATCGTTAATTAATTTAATATAGTTTTCGCAAGAGTCTAACTCGATGCAAATATGAATAAAATGCAAAAAATTAAAAATTTAAAATAAATAATAATGATGAAATAATGTGCGAAACAAAGTACCCAACTACAAACAAAACTTTAAGTGCTTAGAAGAACACTTCGGCAGGTAATGAATGATAACCTTTTAAACGTAAATGTATTTGTAATATTTCCGGTAAGGGAAGAACATACAATAATAACATCACAGAAGCAAATAAACAGTGAAAATATAAAATGTCGCGTTTTTTGTCGCCACGCGACAAGCGACGAAAACGCTTGCATAAAAGCGGCCTTAGACAGAAGACAGTGAGCAAATAAGTGAATCTGTACTCGAAACTGCCCTAAAGGTCATGGTGTTATGTACAGGCAAGAAAAAGCATAAACAGTACTATTGGGATAAGAAAATTAAATAACATATGTGGAAACCTAACCGTGTCATTTGTCAAGGGCTGTGGGTGGACGGACTAGTAGATGTAAAGGGTGTACCCTCTTTGATGATAGATTGGGGGTTACACAAAGAACGGTACTAGGCTCGGGCTTCAGTCTGGTAGAGGTATCTTGGTCGGGGTTCTTTATCACGGATCATTTAAAGAAGTACTGACAACACAGAGACAAGAAGTTAGAAAAGAAGACAAGTTATAAGATAAGAGAAGTTATTTGGGCACCACCCTATTTTTAGAGGAACAGGGAAACCTTAAGGCATATAGGAGAAGATAACAAGAAAGGTAAGATACAGTTAAAATACTCACGCGAGAATAAAGTAAACCGTGAGAGAAAAGGTATCGTGATTATGCAGTACACTCCTAATATTTCGACACATTTACACTAAATATACTGTAAAACAAATATTAGTATAATAATATTATAACAAAAAATAAAAAGCAAATAGTTCGTCAACAAAATTATATTGAGGTATATTAGTTAAAGTAAATGCACTATAACAATTTTTACTGAACAGTTAAACGGCATGATATAAGTTATTTTTATTATTAAAATTATTATTAATATTATTAAATACAAAAAAAATACTAAAAAATTTATTATTAAATACAAACAAAAAATATCTTTTTGAAAAATAATTATGAATAATTTAGTATCCTCAAGAATTAGAAAAAGGCAGGGAACATTATAATTGTATCTACGTCAATATTCGTCAAATAAGTGAATTTTACGCCTTGAGAATACGTAAGCATGAAGTTACTAAGATTTTGATCGTGATCACTTCAAATCTATGAATAAAAGTTATCATAAATATAACCTACATATAAAACAAATTGTACGTTATTTATACGTATTTATTATACCGTAGTTTTATACCCATATTAGTTCGTTCGGTTGGAGTTAAAATAAACATCCATGAATAAGTAAGGTACACTGAACTGGAGTCATAAATCAACTTCTAATGATTTAGGTATCACAGTTGAGCTTTAGTCAATAAAATTCATAAGTACTCACAAAACAGTAGAGGACAGTTGGATACAGGTAATGGCGTTACGCCCTAAATAAAGGCACTTGACATTCGGTCCTTGCAACAGGTAGTTGGGACGGCAGGCAAGCAACGAATTACGGTCTTCAATCCGTAATCCCTCAAATTGATTTAGGCCGACGAAAAGAGACAGCCAGATAGGAACAGCACAGGTAGTAATAAGTAGTCGAGATAAATGAAGAGACAAAAGCACGTAGAGACGAATGAAGGTAGAGATGAATGATGGTAGAGATGACTGATGGTAGAGGTGAATGATGTAGAGGTGAATGAACGGCAAACAAAAGTGACTTAGACAAGCGAAAGATGAAAATAAAGAGGGAATATTGGCTGAAGGGTGCCACGCGAAATTGATATTAAATAGCCGGGTTACTGGGGTTCACTTTCGTAGCTTACCCTTCCTCTACCGATGGAAATTAGACTTTCTACGAAAAACAACTCTTCTGTTTTTCTGAGAAGGTAGGGCGGAGATTTCACAATAGGGACTTTTT